CTTTTTTTTTTTTTTTTTTTTTTTTAATCTAGTCTTAAGGTTGAGTACAGATGAGTACGGCTAAGTATGCTCATTTTAGGTGTAAAAACTTCCATTTTCACCTTCATTATCAAAATTGAAAATTTTAAATTATTTTAGTGAAGGAACGGCCAATAGATGTAGCCAATAAAATTTAGACTCCAGGGCCGGGGCTTTAGCTCAGTGTTTCTGCCGCCTGCCTCGCAAGCACAAAGACCTGAGTTCGATCCCGGTGCCAAAAAAAAAAAAAAAAATTAGACTTCACCTCCCTCAGGAAGGAGCTCAAAAACTACAAAATCAAACTTTCCTGTAATACTGTCTACCTCATTTATTTAAAAACTCCTCAGATCTATGTGTCTGTGATTAATCACCTATTCTCTCTTCTGTTGCTCTATGGATATGTTGACATCTTTTAAAATTTTTTTAGTGTTTAACGTTCAGTGATTAATTTTAATGATCTCCATATTTGTATTGCTTTTTATCTTCTTTTTACTTTGTTCCCTGCTTTCTGCGTTCTCCTTCCTGCCCTCTCCCTTCATCCCTTTTTAATTGTTGGATCGTTCTGTTCATGTGACTGTGTCTGTGTCATTCGTTTCTTGTTTCTGTGGGTCTGGTATTCTCTCCTTTCTTCTTGTTCCCTCCCTCTTGCTGCTGTAGCCCCACAGGCTGTGGACCCTGGCTGAGCAGGTAGGGGACTTGTCGTCACACCAGTGCCTACCTCCCTACTTGCCTCCTGCCTTGCCGACTTCCAGCAGTGGGACAGACTGGAGGCTGAGTGCAGAGATTGACTGAGGGTCTGTGGACCCTACGGTCAGGGGTGTTGATGTCACTGTTTGGCTGTCTTCCGGTGTTCACGAGTTGGACAGATACTGTATTTCCATTATGGATGACCAGTACTTCTCTTGCCCATTTTTGATCACCGTTTTCCATCGTTTTCCACTTTTAGTGACCTGTTTTCTGTTTTGCTTGTCTTTTAATTGACCTTATGTTTTTTAATCCATTATGTGTTTTGCATTATTCAGAACATCAAACCAGTTCTTCACTCAATGCTAGTCTGTAACACAGCCTCCCAGAACTTTCTTTGCCTTGCACTAGCACTATCACCTGAGGCTGATCTGCATGTGCTTTTCTTCTCCTTATCTTAGTGATATCGGTGGCTGGAGTTTAGTAGACTATGTTTTAATGCAGCGGTCTTTATTTTCTTTCTTTATGTTTAAATATGCTTTTGATACAAAATGGCATTACCTGAAAATTTTTAGTATAGTTCTTCAAATAAGTTCTGGGGGGGCTACATTTTTTGGCAGATTTGTTGTGAATTCCATCTTTTTCTACCCAGGTATTACACTGCTTTCCCATGAAATGCATGTGAGTGGGGGGATATCATGTAGACTGTTATTAAGCATGTTGCTCTTACATGGCCAGAGATTTCTGGTCAGAAGTGACCTAACATATCCTTTGAAGGGATTTATAGTGCCAGGATAAGATTTCTGGACTGCTATGTTAAAGTCACAGCCCAGACCACAAGGTTCTCTGCCCAGCTGACAGGGATAAACGTTCAGCCTCCTGACTCATCACAGATAAAAATAACCTTCTAAGGCTGGAGAAATAAGGCTTAAGTAGAACTAAAAGGAACAAAATAATTATCTCTTCTATCTTCTTGTTCGATCTGTCAGTTCAAGTCACACATCTGCTTCAGTATCCTGAGCTCTAAAAATACACCTTTCTTGATGCATGTTGTAAAAATCTCTCAGGAAATGATACTTCACATCCTTGACCCCAGACTTTTGCAACCAACCCTTTCTTTGTTGGATTCAGCCACCTTTTATTTGATAAAGCAGGTAGCATGTCTCTTTACATAATCATATATATATGTGATAGGCATTCAAGCTGTGTGAAAGTCCAGTATTCTCTTAATAATGTGCTCTTTGGGGAGCTTATCCAAATAAAACTTAGCAGGCGAACCCCACACACACAGTTTACGATTTTACTAAAGAAATGCTTCCCAGCTAGTAGAGGCACAGAACCCAGTTTCCTTTCATGCAGCCTCGAGTTAACCATGCTGTTTCCTTGCTTGCAGGGAACCTCGGGACCTGACCCTACCACTGTCTATGTTGACATGAGGGCCCTGAGACATGACAGGTATGGTATAATGGTTGGTGGGGTTTTTTCCTTTCCTTTTTTTTTTTTTTTTTCTTCTTTTGGTGGCCCACACGCAGGTACTCATCTAGAAGGAAGAGGAGCAGAAATGTTTACCTGCTCGAAGTGTAACTACCCAAAGGATAGATAAAGTTGGAGGAGTTGGTTACATTGGGGTTAAGTTGGCTCAAGCTTTACAGATGAACTTTGTTGTGTGACAGCTGTGACGTGGCCAAGTTTCCTGGTCTTTGAGGCTAAGCTGAAGGCAGCCACTCGGTCCTTTTCCTTGGCCATGTTAGTCATTGCCATTTTGTATCTCAGTATCAACATTCTGCTCACATGAACTGAAATTTTTTGTGAAGAAGTTTCCACGAAAAGTTAAAATGGAAGCCAAGTTATTAGCAGCTTTGGAGCAAGACTGAAAAGTGGTGCTCTTGGTATCTGTAAGGATGTGTCAGGAAGAGATTAAGTGGGTGGGGAGGGGCACCCACCATGCGAAAACCTTTGTGGAGACTGTCTCAGCAGGATGACCTGTCGGAACGCCCACGAGGAAGATAACTGCTATTTCCACTGCTGATGCTCCCTGTTGAAATAGATCACATTCCGTTGGGTGATTTTGGAGTTGCCTGAGCGCAGCTTTTTCCAGGAAGTGCAGACCTTGGCACGTGGCACCCTCTTGCAGTTTGCTAGCATGTTCTTAGTGACTGTGTTGCCATATGGCCAGTATTGCACCTGCATTACCCTGCATTTTCGCATTCACTCACCTACCAACACTGTCATCGTGCCACAATAAAATACAGGATAGAGCCGGGGGTTTAGCACAGTGGTGCCACCACCTGCCTCGCAAGCGCAAGTTCCCAAGTTCGATTCCCAGTACCAAACAACAACAACACAGGGATAAACAGAGAAAGAGTAGTTGAGTGCAGCGAGGTGTGTGTTGCAGGACCTGACCCCTGCCTGAGCAAGTGGCAGCAGGGACATGCCTCTCAGGGGTTGGAACTGCTGGCTCCTGTGTGTATGAATGCCTTGGGCCAGGCTGTGCCCATGAGAAAGAGTCCAGAATCTGCTGTCCATGAGGGCCATGTAGTGTCCAGTCAGCCTGGCAGTCACCACTGTCTTCTCTCAGCAGATGTGCTCAGTAGGACATTTGTGCCTCTAGCAGACACCTGGCCGGCAGTGCTACTAAATATTCTGCGGTGCACAGGACAGTAGCAGTAGTGCCCACATTACGAAGCCATCCACACACATCCCATGTTGCACTGACAGATTACCTGCCTGGCCTAGGAGCCCTGCTAGACCCTCTCAATCAAAACACCTGCCTCTTCTGTACTTATGGAATTACAGAAGATTGGAGAGGCCCAATGGTGCAAGCCCCGCACTAAGCATGGAGGACCCATAACGTGTAAAGTACTGCACCCCCCAACCCTGCCTCCCAAGGTTACCAGCCATAGTGTAGCAAAGTTCAGGCTGGAACATTTTCAGATTGAAGAAAGTCAGGAGAAGTTAAATACTTGTACCAGGAGTTGTATCAGTTCCCAAGTAATAAATAGGTATAAAATCTCTGTACATAAAATGTTTGGAAAATAATTTTATAATTGTTTGACTTCCTCAAGGAGTGAGCAAGTAGTCCATCACAGAGTATTTGTTTCAGTACCATTTATGTCCTCAGAATATATAAAGAGCAAATTTTTTTTTTTAGTTTATTGGTACATTTTAGGGATACAGTACAGTTACATTCATTGTTGGGATCTTGTACCTCTACATGACAAGTCCTGATTCTCATTTTTTTCCCCTTACCCCTGCCCTCCCTTCACCCCCTCCTCCCCTCCCCATCTACAAACACTTTATTTTCATCTTTTCTTTATCTCACATTTTTTTCTTTTCCCTTATTACCCTTCCCCTACCCATCCCACCTTCCCTACACCTTTAGCTCCTTTCTTCCCATTTCTAAATGTCAGTAATCTTATTAGGATCTTCTGTATTATTGCAGATTATTCACACCAGAGAGACTATTCGGTATTTACACATGTGTGCCTTATTTATTTCACTTAGGAGTGTATCTTCAATATGTATCCATTTTCCTATGAATGAATCTATTTTCTCATTCTTTATGGCTGAGTAATATTCCATTTTATAAAAAACCACATCTTCTTTATCTAGTTTCCAACGGATGGGCAAATGGGCTGTTACCAAGGGTATCTTTCCAAAAAAACTAAAAGAATCATATCACACAGAAGTATGCGCACCCATGTTTATAGCGGCACAGTTTGTAATAGCTAAAACTTGGAAAGAGCAAATATTTAATGCAGTGGTGGATCAAACCTCAATTTTGGAACATAAATCTCTGCTTGTGATACAAGTACCTTTGAAATCAGGGAAGGCTGAAATTTGGGATGTAAAGGCTTTTCTTTCTTGAAAAGAACTAAACATCTTAGGCATTACTTTTTACCCATTTTTTTTAAAACCTACCATTTATCTGCAGTGTGGCAAACTTGCCTTGCTGAGAAAGAGTATGATTTAGGAAAATTGAAATAAAACGAGACCCGGTACAGTGAATGGTGATAAAATAATAAAAGTTCGGTGCATTTTGCTGGAAAAAGTAGGAAGCCTCAATCTTCTGATCAGCCTCCTCCTTGGTGCACTAGTTCTTTTGACTTTGGCCAAGTCAGTAATCCTTCTAAGCGATGTTTTTTATTAACTCATAAAATAATCTGGTGTAATTATTTTCCCTGACCAGGCTGCTTGCTTATTTTTGTTTGTTTTTTTAATGTGAAGTGGAAGTCAAAGTGCTTTGTGAACGGGATACTTGTCTGTGAAACATTTTGAAACACAGCAGTGGGTAATAAGACTGTGATGCTTAACAGTGCCGTGAGCCCCTGTTGTGGTGGTGCCACGGCCCGTGACTGTGCTGGACGCCTCCGACGCTGCCCCTGTGTCGGTCGCTGCTCTTGTTTGTTCTTTGCTGTCACTACAGTGGGATTCCCCAAACTCATGTTCCCAGTTCCCTCTTCTGTCAGGGGCACTGACAGGAGCTTGGCAGACAGCAGGGTTTCTTCACAAGAACTCTACCTTCTCTTCAGCATTTGACTTCCAGTAAATAGGAGCTGAACCCTGCTCTGAACCGTGCTCCATTTTATGGGAGCTGCACTTGCTCTCCTGGCCTTCTGGGACCCCTGGGCTGAGATGGGCTGTTTCTCCTCACAGCCTAAGGCTCACTGTTTATCCCCCACCCCGGTCTCTTTCATAGTCTTTTTCAGGGTACCCTACAATTGCAGAATTCTCATTTGACCTTTCTTACCTAGTCTGTCACTCCTGTTGCTAGCCGTACGACTGCTCTTGTCCTACATGAGATCCCTTTTCAGGGCAGAAAATCTTAGCAGTTCCCCCATCTGTCTGTCATGTCGGGGGTCAGCCTCACCTTCCTAATGCCCCCATGCCCCACAGCCAGCCCCTAATAGCTCACCTGTGGAAATCTTTGTCGCTCAGCTTGGACACATCTCTTCCTCTAGAACCGGAGATGTCCAAGTCTAGGTTTTCCCTACGCCTCAGGTCCTGGGACAAGGTATTCAGCTCTGAAGCTTCAGTTTCCCGGTGCTTAGGATGGGCGCAGTCTTGTCAGGTACCCCCAAGGACCAGGGAGAAAGTGCTGGGAAGTGCTATGCACAAGTAAAAAACTACTGAGAGCTCTGGGCAGCTAGAGGGCAGTGGTGTTCAGGTATTGAGATGACAGCATCCAGGGGGTGGCCAGGGGAGCAGGTAGAGCTCCAAGAAAGTAGAGGGAAAGATCATCAGGAAGGTTCCAGAGAAGGAGAGACAGCAGCTGGTCCAAGGCCAGGAGGCAGTGAAGCAGGAGGGCTGCTGAAGTCATTCAGTCTTCTTGTGACTGTCCCCACAGAAGTGGAGTGGTGGTTTTCTTACTTGAGCTACGTTAGAGAGCTGTCGCAGGGTCAGTCACTTCTCCTGTTGCCTGCATGGTACCTTCAGGGGAGGCCAACTTGTCCGTACACGTGTACGGTGTCCTAGAAGGAATGTGTGTGCTGCACATAGGCATGGGAGAGACAGACCGTAGGGAGATCTGCCAAGGGATCAGGTGGATTCATGCAGATGGATTCGTGAACTGTTTTCGCTTGATTTTATGTCTCTATCTTTCATACCCATTTTATTCTTGGAGCCTCAGTGTTGAAGATTTGGGAGCTGTGTTTGTAGCAGGTTGCCATGGATAACATTTCTACATCATGTAATAAAGACATATTCCATTTCTGGGATACTGTAGATTTAGTTCCCACACATACAGGGTGGGAGAATTGATGAAATTGTTTTTGAGGCTATTTTAAAGTGTCTGTTTTTAAAATGTTCTTTATACTATATTCATTGAAAGTGAATTCAGTCACTCAGTTCCTTTCAGTCTAATCTTTAAGTACAGTGCTTCAATTTGTCAGGTTTTCGATAGAAAGGTAAAAATTTTCATGCATTTAAAGAAATAGTTTTAGGGCTGGGGATTTAGCTCCGTGGCAAAGCACCTGCCTGGCAAGCATTAGGTCCTGAGGTCCTGAGTTTGATTCTGGTACCAAAAACAAACAAAAAAATTGTTTTAGCAATGTGTCATATCTTCTGAACAGTATATTACCGTGAAGGCCCCCAGTGAAATTTTCTCAGATTTCTCAATGCTTGTAATGTAAAGTTATAATTAAAGGGTATTACTAGAAAAGTATGGATACTAAATTAATTCCAAGCCGGTGGGTGGCTGAGTGCTCAGGTCCTGAGAGTAGAAGGCAAAGAATAAAGACAAATGGGTAGACTTATGATTTAATCATAGGAGTTAGGAAGGAGATAAGACGAAACTACTGACTGGGCCCTTGTGACTGGCCAGGTGCTGGTGCATGTGGTGTGTGGGTGTGGTGTTGTATGCATACGAGTGAGTGAATTATTCACGTGTACATTTTGAGACAGGATCTCCCTAAGTCACCAAGTTAGCTGTCCTCTGCTTGAACCTGGAATCCTCC